AAAATGGACCATACTAATGACCACATCAGTATCACCCTTACTTTTCTCAATAGTTTGTAGAATATTAGTTTCAGTATCAGGTGTAATATTTCCCTTTCATGTATAATATGTCAACGTAATGTGCAATACTTCATTTTTCAGGAGCAATATTTAAATTTCAGGTGTGATATTACTGTTGTCTCAGTATCATTGCCAGCACCCATATAATTTTGTTTTCTCATCAATATCTGGCACAAGAATTTAATTTGGAGTTAATGAAGTTTTATTTTAATGTAGCTCAGCTTATCTTAAAATCTGCAAAAGCACAAACAGCTTTACTGTGTGAATATGTAGCACATCCCTTATTTCTGTCTGTTACACTATTTTAATTAGAAGAAATTTCGTTGTTTTTTATAATTCGTGCAGAATTCTGGAGAATCTTCTTAAAATCGGGAACAAAAATGAGTCCGACAGAAGAAGTGAAACCAGAAACACCGGCTGCATCAGAGCGACTCCACCTCTGTTCAGTTCCAGTTACTCACCACTAGATGGAGCCTGTACTTCACTAATGTTACTCACCCTGGACTGCCACACCAGTCTGTAGGGGTTACAGTGGCCCAGTTTCTCCATGACTCTCTGAACGGTGGCTCCAACCTCCTGAGGATACGGGTCTCCTCGGTTTACGACCTGCAGAGAGCAAACAGCAGGATGTCAGTAACAGCATTAATATCAGCTGTGAGGAAGTAAAATCAGAGTCGTGGTGCATTTATCAGAGATGATACGAACAGAAGTAGCTGCAGGTTCGTAGATCATTTTTAAAAATGCACCCGTCGACCCACTTTCAGCAGGTTTTTTTCTCATCAGAGATAATTTGATCTACTGTCCAGTATCACAGATTCTGAATCAGTGATATGATGAGAAATAACAGAGAACGTTTCAGGTTTTTATCTTTAATAGTTCCTCAGATGTTGTCGTTCAAACAGCCTCAGATTTAATGTGAGAAAAAAACCTGCTGAAAGGAGGTCGACGGGCCGTTTTTTTATTTTATGTTACTTGGAAAGTATTCAGCACAATAATGTGAAATTTCACAAATATCTCTAGAAATATATTTTATAATTTTCATTCATTCATTTCATATACATATCTTATTGTATAAAAATTCGAGGCAAGTCAGAGCTGGTGGAGCAGAAATGTGACGATTTGCGGTGGAGGAACCCAACACCAGTGGTGATACTAGCGGTACTGTATCGGTATTAACAGAACTAAGTGGAGTATTGTTAGTACTACATTCAGTAGTATAACTGGTATCAGTAGGTAGTACTTACAGCCAGAGGAAGCGAGTGTGCCGAGAAGAGAATGACGACGTCGTCTCTTTTGTCTTGTGGAAACTTCAACAGTTCGTTACTGACGTGTTCTGCAAAACACTGAGCAGACAAACAGACGGAAACGCTCAACAGTTGATCTGTTTTATGTGTTCTTCTTGACATTTTGCCCATTTTCTGTCAAAGTTTAATCTTCCTTGACTGACAAAAATAAAGTTTGTGACTCATCTTCGCTTTCCACCAACATGCTAGTGTCTGACTCTTCAACACGACTCTTCTGACCTTTTCTTGTTTCATCTGTTTTCAGCTCTCTCGAATGGAACTTGTTTAAAATATCCAGAATGAAGCTAATTCCAGGCAGATTTTTCTACCGACTGTGACGAGTCAGTTTTGTTTTCTGAGGCCGGTTTGGTTTTACCTGGACCAGCAGCGGGTGTGTCGGCCAGCGGTCGATGACGCTCCATCGCATCTTCGGCCTGTCGCCTCTGTTGCTGTAGTAACGGTAGATGGCGTTCAGGCTGCTACCTGTCGACGCAACAAACCACATTAATGTCAGAAAAACACGTTCCTCAACACCAGAAGCTTTGCAAACAGCTTAAACTGCTCTAGTTGTCTGTTAATTTCTGATCCGTCGATGCTCGTTGGGCTGTTTTGACGGTCGGCATCAACACCGACGGAATAAAGTCCACGTCAGATGTCGTCGAAAATCTCGACGTTGCCAAAATCTAACCTAATTTCCCCTCAGCGGATCAGAATCTGAGCGGTTCTCACAAACAAACGGAGCCTCACGACCAATAAAAACTCTAGTTTATGGCTCTGGTCTGCTGTGGCGTGAACACGTTTCTTCGTATCGATTCCGGCTTCCTGTGCGTTTAGTCGTTGGAACAACAATCATAAACTACATTTCCCACGTGGATTTTAAAGAAAAAGCAAAAGTGAACCCTTTATAAAGTCACTGAAAAGGTCTAAAGTTCCCTTCTGGAGTTTTAAATGAAAGATCTAAATCTGCAGAACGTTCCTTTCTTAATATGTCATCGATTATTTGGCATCTTGGTATTGTGTCGTAAGTCCCGTCTGAGCCGATACGGTGGAGCAGAAAACCGCAAATATCCGGAAAATCATCTGGTTTATTGTGTCAGCAGCAACACTGACCAGCGTTTCCATCATACGGTGACTTTTTATGAAAGAATGTGTCAGAGTTTTGAAGAACAACAAAAAAATTTAAGAACAACTTTTCCAAGATGGCCGCCATTTCCATCATTTAAAACAAGGTATTTTCACACAAGTGGGATCTTGTCGAGGATTTCGGTCGGTTTTTGTGCCAAAAAAATGTGGAATTTATCATTTAGAATCCAAAGCTGCAGGTTAAAGCGTGTTTTGATACGAGGATCTCCGTCCAGGAGAGAGTTTTAGCTCCGTTTCAGAAAAAAATCTCCCTGAACGTGTCGGTAGTTTGAGTTGTAGAAAATACTACAGAGGAGCAACAGCGACGGCTAAAAATAAGGCCAAAGATTTCCTGAACTGCACAACAGCTGCGAGCGAAGGCAACGAGGTCAGCAACGCCTGAAATGTGTTGGTCTTTGTTTTGCTACGGTCACATGGTAGAAGTGTGACGAAGGACGGAGCAAATAAAACCAACCAGAGAACAAACACAAGTCTCAGTTTCTGCCTAAAACACAACAATGGAGCTCGATATCTGAAAATGGATCCTTAAAGTCTGGAGCAGTGATGGATGGAGGGTGTAAGAAGTAGAATAAGTTGTGTTTTATAAATAAAAACACAGCAGCATCAGTCGGTTTACTGTCATTTACACGCCGAATGTGGTTTTGTTGGCGCTACGCTGAAGCATGAGCATTTATCAGGAGCTAACAGGGCGGACGGCAGCCCGGGTGTGGCCACAAACGGCCACAAACGGCTGTTTTATCGTCCATTTGGTGCTTTTATCCACGTTTTACACTAAACTCAGTGAATCTGTGAGACCTGTGGTGGAGCAGCTGTACTGGGGATACTGGGTGAAGGCCACGGCTCGCTCCACTCCGTCCTTCTCCATCTCCTCGATGGCCTCCTCCGTCAGCGGGTGAACGTACCGGAAGCCGATGTAGAACTTATGAGGAGCTGAAGAAAGAGAAACAGGAAGCGGACAGGAAGTGAAATAAACTCATGAGCAGTAAAACTGTTTAAGTCAAAGTGGCTGCAGCTGTGAACAAGAGTTACCGTCCACCTGTAAAGGTCACGTATGTCGTGGAGGTCTTGGTCACCAAAGAACAATCATTATTAAAGGTCAAAAATATACATACAGCCACTTGAATGATACGTTTTTGTAATGTAGGAAGTTGTGTTGATCAAATTTTCTGAGTTTCATGGCCTCTAAACTTCTCCTGAGTGGGCGGGAAAGTCTGAGGAGTTCAGCAAAGATCTGAGAAAGAACATCATTGACTTGAACCAGTCAGAAAGCCACTTGGAGCCGTTTCAGAGCAGCTTCAGAACCAGAACCATCAGCGTGTCAGCATAAAGTTCATGGTCCAGTTGTGTTACTGCCACCATCAGGAAGGAAACACAAACTAGCAGCTGCTGCTGAGAGATGACTGGTAAGGATGGTCAAGAGTCAACCAGGAACCAGCAGGAAGCAGCTCTGGATGGACCAGAAGCTGCTGGAACACAGCTGTCAGTGTCCACAGGGTCTGACATCAACATGAGCTGAGAGGCTGATGGAGAAGGAAGTTCTTCCTCTAGAAGCAGAACCTTAAAGCTCCACTGAAGTCTGCTGCTGGTCACATGGACAAAGAAAAGGCCTTCTGGAGGAAAGTTCTGGTCAGATGGAACAAACACTGAGCAGAACCATGTCTGGAGGAGAGAAGGTGAGGCCTTTAACCCCAAGAACACCAAACCTACCATCAAGCATGGAGGTGGCAGCATCATGCTCTGAACTGGAGCTTTACACAAAGTCAGTGGAACAAAGAAGGAGGATCACCTCCACGTTCTTCTGGAAAACCTCAAACCATCAGCAGAAGGTTGATCTTGGACACAGTTGGATGTTTCAACAACGGAAACCAGAAGAACCCGACTGAGGAGAACATGACCAAATATATTTTTCTCCCAACAGATTTTGTCATATTTCCAGAAGACCTTCAATCAAACCATAAAAGTGCCAAAGATTCATGTGTTTCAACAAGAGTTCTAGAAGTCTCTGGTAACTCTGGACAGTCTTCATGTACGAGGTCTTCACAAGTGGCGGGAACGTTTTTTTGACTATCATGCCAGTGAAGGTTCTAAGCTGGTGTTCCTGTGTTCCGGTGGATGTGCTGAGCTTTCAGACTCTTATCAGTGAGGTGTGTTGAGGCGTTGAAGCGACACTCCTTCACCGAGCCTCTATCTTCACGCCACACATTTCGTTATCATCAACCAGCAGCAGGAACCTCGGCAGCTCGTTCAATCTCCCAGCGCCGCTAACCGGACGCCGGTTTCCCTCGATGCCTATCAAACCTTCTGCTTCTAAAACCTGCTAGATTGTCTAGAATGTCCCTCTGAGGTTACTGGAGGTGAAGGTCCGCTCACCCGTCTCAGGACTCATGTCGTCCAGCAGCTTCACCATCCCTTCGCCCTGCATCGACGTCCAGTGTTTGATGGGCGACCCTCCTCCGATCTTGCTGTACTGCTCCTGGATCTTTGGCGTTCGGCGCTTGGCGATGAACGGACCGAGTTTACTGCAGAGAAACGAACAGAGTTATTACTGCAACAATCACATATTAAACATTAATAAACGACGGATTGACCTGTAACCACGTCTTCTTGGACTGATCTCAGGTTCAGACAAGGAAAACGAAACCAAATTTTCTAAAGCAGATGAAGATCCAGCCCCAGATCCAGACTCTGGGCTTCACCAGAGTCAGTAGGATTCATCCTCTGGGCACCAAGACTTTGTCCTGAATGTCACTGAGGGTCAAACAACAGTCGCTGTGTGGACGGATTATTGGACAGGTCCAGTGATTAACGGAAACATTTCATGAGTGGGAAGTGAATTATACGTCGAGAAAGAGGTTCAAAACAACCAGAAAGTGACGTGAAACATCTATAAAATGATGACAAAGATTTACTAAATGACCACAAAGACAGAAAATGAGCTGCAGAATTGATTTTAAAGACACAACATATCAACTAATCGATGACTAAAGTCAATGACTGAAGGGACACAAAAAAGCCTCAAAACGTTTAGCATCTTAGCTCGGCATGCTAACACGCTAACATTAGCTTGTTAGGAGCAAACTGAGGCTGATGACAATTAGATGTTTGATAATTAGCCAAAGTTAAATCCAGATGTAAAGTATGAACAATCTGCTGGTTCACAGTTTTACTTCATGTTAAATTAAAATAACGAGAATAATTTTAAAAAGCAGCGCTAAAGGAAAAAAAACACCAAAGTTACATTTTTTTAAGTATAACATCGTCTGCAGGCGTCTTTATCATTAAAATCACTAATTACAACCTTAAATTTTAATTATTTTTTGTTGTATTCTGTTGCGTCACCAAAAGTTTAAAAAAAAAACTTAAAGTATAAACTTCATCCAGGTTTAGTTTTTAACGTAGAAAACCAAACGTGCTTCGATCAAACTGTCATTTCGGTTCATCAGGATTTAAAAATGTGACGAAAACCTGTTAAAGTCTCGACATCTGGTGCTTTTAAACGAGTCTTTATCTGAGAAAAATCCAAAGACGCAAAAAAACATCAATAATTTGATCAGAACTCCTCAATGAAGTCACAACCTGAGACCCTGAGACGCTGATTTTAGGAGCCAAAAGTTTGAAAAGTTCTGGGTTCAGGTCAGCAGCCATGTTGAAAAGAAGAACTGGATGTTGGCTCATCGTCAGTCGTTACCAAACCGACGTGAGCCAACAAACTTCTACATTCGTCGCCTCCGTGTTTTAATCGGTCGCTGCTGCTGCTGCTGTGAATGTTTTTCCATTAATGAGGTGAAATAAAAAAAAACACTTCAGCCGCTGACGTCGGCTTGAACCTGGTTGTGTAACCAGAAAAACAGCACGACACGACGTTCAGCAGCCGATCGAACACAACGTTAGTGATGCTGTTTTAATCAGAGTTCATGGTTTTAACGTCGTCTCATGTGGTGAATTTATCACATTTGAATCTGATATTTAACGTGAATCCTTCTGTATCAAACCACCACATTCATTCAACTTTTTACAGCTCAACATACAGACATTAATGAAGATATCTGTGAAATTTTAGCTTCATATATCAAATATTTACAATAAAAATTCAGCAGGTTTTCTGATTTTGTTTGAACTATTAAAGATAAAAACCTGAAACTTTCTGTTATTTCTCATCATGACACTGATCCAGAATCTGTCACATTGGACAGTAGATCAATAATCTGTGATTATGGAGGAGATGAAATATGAATAAATCATAAAAAGCTCCATCTTTGAGCTCATATTAACAAAAAATCTGATAATCCAGAAGTGAACCAGTGATGTTTTGTAGCTGCAGGTCACAATAATACAAAACTAAACATTTTATTTTGAAATCCTTGGTGAGAAAATTAAAATAAAGTCATTTTAATTCAACTTTTATAAGAGATTGAGCAGATTTTCAAGTTGCACAACAAAAACTAAAACATCATAATCTGATCCAAGTAGAGGTCTAGAGATTCAAAATGTTTTTTTAAATATAATTAAGAAAAAATATATATATTTAAAGGCATATTTTTAATTGTCAGATCTGACTTTGTCAACACAAACCTTAATTTAACTTCTGCATTATTACTGTTTTTGTTAATGTGGCTCAAAAACAAGACTTTTCATGATAACTTCTGTGTTTTTCACATTTCAACTCCCCCATAATCACAGATGATCTGATCTACTGTCCGATATTAAGGATTCTGAATCAGTGTCATGATGAGAAACAACAGAGAAAGTTTCAGGTTTTTATCTTTAATGGTTCCTCAGATGTTGTCGTTCAAACAGAATCAAATGTCAGAAAAAAAGCTGCTGAAAGTTGGTCGACGGGTGATTTTTTTTAAAGAAGTATTTGACACATGAGGCTAAAGTTTTGCAGGGAGCATTTTAAATATCCAGAGTTCATGATAAAGAAGTTTTCAGAAGGATCCTGAAGATCTGAGGTGGAACAATCACCGTCTAACGAAGCGACAGTCGACTTTTCAGGAATTCAATCGCATCAGACTGTGTCAGTAAATCACCATCATTCAGCTCAACGTTCAAACAACAGATTAAAAAGCTGCTTTCACTCAGAAACAACCCGAGTAAACGTCGTTTTTTATTTCACTCACTTCTGCACAGGGAGCTTCATCAGGTCGGTGTCCATGAAGAGTCGCAGCAGGAAGTCGTGAACGTCCTCCAGCTTCTCCGGTCCGCCCATGTTCAGCATCAGGACGCCCGTCTTGGGTTTCCTGCAGATTCACCGTCAATAATTCACATCCGGCGACGCTTCACGCCTCCACAGAGACTCACTATCGATTATTCATGTCTGCTTCTACGCATCAGTCCTGACTTCTTACATTTAAACCAGATTTAAACTGTACAGAGCAACCTGCAGACTGAATCTCACGTAATTTTATACGTTTAATGAGAAATAAAAGCAGAACTTTAGATGGAAAAGTTTGGATTTTGAGCATCTTAAAGAGACTTTCTTTGCACATCACATAAATATCATTTATGTCTTTTTTCTTGCTGATTTCCAGGAATTTCCCAGTTATTAATCAAAGTGAATTATGCCGTTGGTGCATTTTTCTCCACGTTTCCTGACTTCTGAGACGTTTCTCTGCAGCTGAACAGTCGAACTTTAACTCCTGCATCTGTGACGCAACACAAAGTTGTTTGAGGAGCTGATTTTAGGTCGTTTTTCTGGAGAATCGACTGAAAAAAACCGAGAATCTTCAGAGGAAACGTTGAATCTGTGAGCACTTTATTCACCTTTTTGCTGGTTTATTATATTTTTATTGCATGTTTTATTAGTTTTTTTTTCCCATTTTTCTCTCGTAAAACACTTTGAAAATCTTCCCTGTTTGCTTTTGAGCTTCATAAATAAACCTGCAGCATCATTAACACGTCTGAGTTTATTATTAATATGATCATTGCAGCTTTTAACAGTCAATAAATTCTGCTTCAGAGCTTTGAACACCTTCAGGAATCTGCTGTTTCACTCGTTTTTATTTCTCAGCTGCAGGTGCAGATAAGAGACAAAAAAAAAGTGAGGAGAGCCGACAGACGACGGGTCAGGACTCGAGTTTCAGGTCTGATAAAAACCAAACGGGTCGAATCAGGACCGAGTTTGTCCAGAAAACAGCATCACTGAGGAAAAAAATCACAGCTTCTGCACAAAACTTCAACATGAAGTCATTTAATGGACAGAAAGTCAAATAAAAAACGATCAGAGACGGTTTGTTGCTTCTTTTCGTTGAGTTTAGATCCAACGTCAGTCAAACCGCCGTCCGTTAGTTCATCCAAAACGACGGGAAACAGGAAAACAAACCAGTTTAACGAAGCAGCACTTTTATCATTTCTCCATCTGAGCTCCAGATTTCTGCTCAGCTTCTATAAATCGGCTGTTTTTATAGACGCTGCAAACTGATTTGAACTTTAACCGTCGCTCTGAGCTTCCTGATTTCTAACAAAGAAAGAAACCGCTGAGTCATGGTTGTGTGGCGCTGTGTGTGTTTGTGTGTTTGTGTTGAAGACGAACCTGTTTTCTTGCGTTTCTGGAGCTGCGCTTTGAGCCAAAGCAGCGGCGGTGGAGCGTCGCCTCACGCTCAGACCCACGCTGCTCCTGGCGACTGAAACCAGGACAGAACCAAACTTTATCAGAAGGAAAACTCTTCAGAAAGTTAAACAGCACGAGAATGAACGTGGAGAAAACAATAAGACACGAGTACGACGGAGGAAGACGTAAAACTGAGGAAGTAAAGAAATAGTTCACATGAAGTTGTAATTATTTAAATTAAAGCTGCACAATAATGAACCCAAGTTCTTCTTCTGCATGTTTATTGTATTTTTATTGACATTTATATTTTGTTTTATCCTACTGACACCATGACGTTGACATTTTGCAGCTAAAAAATTAAATATTTCACATGAATTTTAAAATATTTAAACATTGCACCTGAAAAAAACATTTTAAATTTTAATATTTCACCCGAATCATACAATTTTACACCTAAGAACACTTGAAGTTTAAATCCTACAATCCTTAAAAATAAGAAGTCGCACAATAAATTAAACTATTGAAGCTGAAAAATAAAATATTTCACATTAAGTTTCAATATTGTGCCTTAAAAAATAAAACGCTGCACATGAGGTCGACGTTTTGCACCTGGAAAATGAAATATTACAGATTAAGTTTAAATATTTTACTAATTAAATATTACACGTATAAAAATAATACACTGCATGTGAAGTTAAAATATTGCTCATAAAGTTGAATTCTTCCTCCTGAAAGAGGAAATATTGCAGCAGAAACATTAATGAAGCACAAACTAAACCAGTAAACCACCTCGAGCAAAGCTTATTTTCACAGTTTGTCCATTTTTCTGTCCATTTATTTCCATCAGCATTAATTTATTTACATAAATAAACATGTGAAGTAAATACGGAGGTCAAACAGTGACATCATTTCTTCATGTGTTTGACACCAAAGCGACTTTAAAACACATTAAATCCATCAGACAGCAGCAGGATTTACCGTATTTACTGTATATTAACTGGTTTTCTCTGTATTTTAAGTGTTTGTTGTCTATTTTAGTGGTTTTCTGTATATTTATAGTGATTTTTACTGGTTTTCTATGTATTTTTACTAGTTTACGTGTATTTTCACTGGTTTTTTACAGTTTTATGTGTATTTCTGGTGATATTCTATGTATTTTTCATGGTTTCTGTGTATTTCTAGTAGTTTTCTATGTGTTTTTACAGTTTTTTGTGCATTGTTAGTGCTTTTCTGTCTAGTACTACTGGTTCTCTGTGTATTTACATTGGTTTTTAATGGTTTTCTGTGTATTTTCAGTATATTTCCAATGTTTTTCTGTGTATTTCTAGTGGTATTCTTTGTGTTTTTCATGGTTTCTGTGTATATGTGGTATTTTTGTACGTGTTTTTACAGTTTTTCTGTCCATTTCTACTGGTTTTCTGTGTGTTTATGGTGGTTTTTAACAGTTTCCTGTGAATTTTCAGTACATTTTCCCTGTTTTTGTGTGTTTATATTGGTTTCTAACAGTTTTCTGTGTATTTTCACTGTGGTTTTTTGTTTTTTACAGTTCTTTGTGTATTTCTACTGCTTTTCTGTGTGTGTGCTGTGCATTTCTAGTGGTTTTTAACGGTTTTCTGTGTCTTTTCGGTACATTTTCCCCGTTTTTCTGGTCCTGCTCGGCGCTGGACTTTCATAACGCGGCCTGCAGTTCTCCTCCACGCCGCCAGGGGGCCGCTCAGATTACGCAAGTTCACAACGCAGCAATTGTGTAACTCAAACACTCACTTTCTTCCTTTTGTTGTTTTTTCTTTTTTTGCGGCCGAAGCGCAAACTGCGGACAGACGCGGGCGGCTTTTCGCGGCGCTCCGGCGGCGGCTAAATGCGGATAATTCCGTTATGTAACGTGAGAACATTAAAGCTGCAGCAGTGGAGAGCGGCGGCGTCAAGCCCCCGGCGGTGAGGGACCGACGGCCGGAGGAAGCGCCGCCATTAGAGGATAAAATAAAAGCACACTAAGCGTCACCGTTGGGCGAATATTAACATTTCGCGTTGACTAAATTAAAAACCTGAATGACAAACGACTTAATAGCATCAACACTTAAAACATGTTCAAAATCTGACGTTAAATAGGTCAATAACAAAAGGGAAAACACGTTATGGTTAAAAGTAGTCCTATATTGTGAAAGTCCTGAGCGGATCTTGTCCTTCCGTATCTACGCTAGCTTAGCGAAGCGTTTACGAAATGTTGATGTCAATGTCAGCGGCGTGTTGCTGAGTTTCCTCCACGCTCCGCCTGAGTACCAGCCGCACACTGACTCCAAACCGCTAAACTGCGCCAATAAAGCGAGTTTGTTCCATGACAGTACATTTATCCGCTCGAGCCCGAAACTTGAAGGTTTGCGGCTTCAAGCTAACTTAGCCGCTCAGTCACACTCACATTGGATCAGGCGACCGGCGCTGCCCAGCACCGCCATCATGGTCTTCCGCCGATAAAAGCCTCTGTTTCCGCGCAGGTGAAGGCCGGACGGCTGAGCTCCTCCGCGGTTGTATCCACGCGTGTTTCCGACACTGAGTGAACCTCGGACCAGACCTCAGTCTCAGCCAGATTCCTTCAGCTACCGCCGGCTGGCTGCGCGCTGTGCTGTCAAGTTTCCAGTGAGGATGTCGATACATCCGGTTTACGATTTCAAAGTAAAAGCACACATGAGCCGATGCCATTTAAAAAACAAATATTCTAGTGCTGAGTGAGAGAGCTAAAATAAGTTCAGTTAATTTTTAAACCTGGAAATTGAATAAACAACAGGTGAAACGTGATGTTTTCGAACATCAAACTGTAGAATTTCCATTTTCTGCAAGAAAAACAGCTGAAATATCAACAAACATCGATGTCCTTTGAAACATTACTGTTGTCAATAGTTTGTGCAAAATCAGTTTCAGTGTCAAGTTTAACATTTCATTTTTATGTAAAGCATGGAAATAACATTCATCCATCCATTCATTATCTATACAAATGAAAGAGGATGAAACTATTTATTAAAAACATCTGATTTCAGTAGTAAATGTGTTGCTACTGTGCAAAAAAAAAAGCATTTTAACTTAAAATATGTATTAATATGACTAATTAAATACATCAACTGATTTCTCATTTTATTCAAAAACACAGCATAATTACAATTTCAGCTCGTATTAGTATTTCAAAGCATTTAAATGGCAGTAGAAAGAACCTTATTTCATTTTTGCTGCATCACCCTCCTTCATTGGAAACGTCTGAGTTCGTGTTTTTATTATTCAGCCCGTTTCCGGTCTGAAGCTTCCTCACTGCGCCCAGCTTGACGCAAAGTCGTTCTCCGAATGTGTCGTCACACGTTCGTCTGCACGAGGGAGCCCCGCCCACTCCCGTGCCGGCCACGCCCACCCCAGAGATAACCTATCAGCTACAACTTTCAGTGTTTGCCTTCAGCTCAATAAGACAGAAGTAAAACAAAATCAGACAAAAACCACAACAAACTGCCAAATCTGAGCTTTATTTTGGAAAGCGTTAAGTCAACACTGAGAGAGCTGTTTGGGTGATTCAGACCTTTAACCGCAGCCACCAAAGTTTAAGAGTCCAAAAGTTAAAAAAAAAAAAAAAAAAAGGATATTTGCAACACAAATCATTGTGTTGTACAGCTTAAAATAGTTGCCTCCCTTAAAAAAAAAAAAAAAAAAAGGTATTAGTTAATCATCTGAACTCAGTAGCTGTGAATGTGGAGGCTTTGATTCAAATTAAAACTGCACTTTGACATTTTACAGGAAGAAAGACACAAAATACGACACAATTCAGCTTTTTA